GTTAGGTTCTTCGCGGCAGAATTACCTACTAAGCTTTTAAATACAAACAGCTTAGACAGTACTCTAATCTAAGGACGACAAAATGAAACAAATGTGAGTAGATATTGATAGGTACTTAAATTATGACAAAGCTTATTACCTTCAACACCATACATTTTACATCTCCATTTTATTTGTTTATATAGCATTTATCCGGATAATTTTGTAATGCAATTGAAAATTAGAGTAAGATTTCATATCATACCTACTTAAGAACTTAAAGATTGCACAAATTCTTGAGCTGAGGTTATAGAAGACCCACTGTTAAAAGTAGCGTTTCACGTGGAACACGAAACAGGTATCAACTAACTAAACCACTTAGATGCAAATATAGCAAAATTTGAAACAAATTTCACTTTCCTTACGTTTATCGAAGCAATATTCTAAAAATAGTTCTGACATCCATTGTACTCTGACCCTACGTAACAGCTACAAAAATTACATAACGCTTTAAACAAAGAAAACAAAAGCTAGTAGACACTAAAACTTCAAAACGAAATGATTTATAGATTATGTATGTACTAACAGTCAATGTAGGCAGATTATGTAACAGCTTAAAAAATATCCTAACGCAAAACAAATGAGTTGATTTGAGACGGTTCTTGTAAATTTGTATGTCTTCTGAAACAAAAATATTTTTGTCCCACTAATTAATACATAAAAATAATCAAAATTTGATTTCAAAATTAGGTTTCCTATTATTCTAACCAATTGAATAAAAAAACAAGGATAGGTATCTATGACACAACAAAAATTACATCACGATCTAATACAAAATACATAGACAATAACGATCGATAGATAATGATAACATTTCGAAAAAAACTATCTCTAAGACCATAAAGTTGGTAGTCCATAGAGTATATTTAACTTTTAGAGTATGAAACAGTCGTGGTTTGTGTTCGTACGCACAATGCATAGGTATCACCTCGACATTGGGGCAGACGGGCGACGCGCATCTATTTCTGTAACTCTCTCAGCTCGTTTTTCATCTTCATACATTGTGAACGTTGCATTAGAACGAAACAGATAAACAACTGTTCTATCTTTTGAATATGTCTAAAGAACTGACAGGACTTATGATTTTTAATTATATTTTGAAAAAGGAATGCTGTTTTTGTCGTTGGAGTAGAAGCTTGTGGTTGAAAATAAACAAAATTGTAACGCAATAATAAATAGCAAGGTCGATTGTGGCAACAAACATAATTGTTTATACTACATACAGATTAAAAAAGTCACTTGTAGTTGTTGATAACACAAAGATTTTTCTCTATAGGTTTGACTCTTGAATCAACTTTATATCGACTCGTTTCGACTTGAAATCGTTAGAAAAATCTATTTCTTAGTCATAAATACATTGGATGAAAAGTAGAAAATAAAAATATAGAAGATGTAATGTAATAAATCCTATCAAACAGATATAGACACTAAGAAGAACGATGATACGTGGTGTTCGAGTGAAAAAAACGGCTGAACGAGATAAAAGCTTATATTATTTTTTATTTTTTTTATAGAATACCAAATACCTTATCAATTGGGCGTTTGTTTGACATGACTTTTATATATTTTTTATTTATAACATTGTACGGGTAATTTTCAATTTTAGAACGAAAATCTAAATTTGAACCTGACCTACAATTAGAATATTAAATGGAAGCCATGTTTTCCACGTCCATACGATAAACAACAATTTATTCACATTTTTCAAAAATTTTCGAGGTTATAATCTAAAAATCTGATTTAAAATGATGAAACCGTGAACAAATAAATAGGTGGGTCGACGATGTTTGATCTATTTTCTCTAGACATTATTATATCAAACCTAGATATCTATTTATTCGGTAAGTGGATCATACGAGTCAAAATAATACATGCAAAGCATTGCTGCGTTGTTTTTATTATGTTTTTCAGAAAATAAGTAGGAAAGTGAAAACAACATTATTTATTTTCTGAAAGTAAGGCAAACAAACACGTTTGGAATCGCGATATGATAGGTACACGCGACTAGAGATTAAGAAATAAAAACCAGTAAATACTGATCCTCAAATATGTGGAAAAATCATAGAATGGGATACTATGATACACTGGTTGTGTATAGCTTTATGTTCTAGTAATCGGAAAACACCAAGTCACGGAAGACTCGATACCGATTTAGAATTTTACGAGTCTACTCGATCAGAGTAATCGATATAGAATTGAGTCATAAAATTGTGCATCGTATGTTGAATTTATTATTTGTATTAGTTTCAAATCGATAAGAGCTGAATGCTAGAAAATGAATATTGGGCATCAGTGCAATTTTTATCAATGTATTAAATTAGGTAAGTACGTATCAAGGAATTTTATTGATGTAGGTAAATGTAGCCTATAGGTACTGTACCTACCTACTTGCTTCAGCACCAGAAGTGCTTCTTTATCGCTAATTTTGAAATTGCGAACAGATTTTCCAAATTGTAAGCACTTAGCACAGACACAAACTTTTACAATTTTAATTATCAAATTAACTGTAAAAATTGATTGAGCGATACTTATTTATGAAAAGAACTTTAAACTGCCTTCTTTATATGTTCTGTGTTTAAACTAAACCAGGCATCGCAAATGACATAATGTGTGTCTCATAGATGCATATCTACTATTATGCACCTACCCTACATCTGCGCACAACGCAGTCCATGAACTATTTAACTAGATTTTAATAATTTGCAAATAACTACAGCAAATATAGATTTAGTTTATTAATAGAGTTTGTGAAAATTAGAATAGTTACGTCCTGCCTGACTTCTCCCGCCATGATGACATTGAATTAAAGTTTTATCGGTGTCAAAGAACCTATTAACATTTTAGCGAAAAGTGCGAGTGTCTGTGTTTGTGAGCTTTTTCTATGAATTCTTTTATTTAGGTCACAGAATATGATGTTGACAAGTTTTTTTTAAATTTTGGAATGAAAGTGCCAACGGTACTTTTTAGGACATCGGAAAAAGTAAATATAACGTCGACGATTTTACTATTAATCTGTCAAACACCAAGCGGTCACCGGTGACCGCGACCTATTGTTCTTTAATTGTGTCTATAAAACCGGTACTCGACGAGTTAATAACAAAATAAAGTGAAATTGGTACTAAATTAGGTTTGTATTGTCACTTTCGTGGGACATACTAAATAAATTATTATGTTTTCGGCTTACTCACTAGTAGGTAATAATTTGACGAGGAACTCGACTAGCTTCAAGCCATGCTAGGGGCTAGCCATGCTACACGATGCATGGCTCGAAACTAGTCGAGTTCCTCGTCAAATTATTACGTGAGTAAGCCGAAAACATAATAATTTACTAAATTAGGTTTTTGGAGTCAACACTAAGATGAGGAAGTGATGCGATTAATAAATAAGTATCCTGATTCACAGATGGCTTTTATGAATTTACATTTAAAATCACTTTAGTAGGTATATCTAATGGATGTTATGGATAATATTGAACTTGGAACAGGGCGCTTACTCTTGAAACCAATCTCAATGTCAATGCAATTTCAATCCAATATGATCTCAATAATTATTAAATGTCAACACTATACAACCACAATCTTAGCTGTTACAATAGCATTCAGAGTACGGAATATAAAGACAAACTCAATACCATTTAGTTCATTCAATATCTACGCAATACGGATGCAATGGGGTCTAGTATTGCAACTCAAGAGTACGAAATTTCACAATACCAATGTCGATCGATCGGAATTGGATTCAAGAGTAAGCCCCCTGAACGGTTTTAAATGTTCCTTTGTGTATGAGAGTTGTGGCGCTATTACGATCATGATGCACAATTTTCAGAGGCCTTAATACGAGTTTAATTTACTTTTAAAGTATTCGTAACGAGTACGCGTTCGGCAATCTGATTGGCCAGCGCCAATGAAGCAACCAATCGGAGCGCCGGACGCGTACTCGATACGATTACTTTAAGCATAAAACAAATTCGTACCTACTAAGCCTCAGTAACTATGTGTGCCATTTTGTCTTAGGTATATAAAGATGATTTGCCTATAAGTAAGTAATTCTTGTATATGATCATTCTTCAAAGCCAGAACTGACCATGACAATAGCGTGTTCGTGTAAATATGTCAAGAATACTCTTGATCTCTTTCAACTGCGATACAAAGTACCTGTTTTTATTTTATGTCCAGACTCATTTTTCTAATAAATAGGTGGCATTTTAGATTATTAAGTACTGAAATGACCTTGGAAACTGGGGCAGTTTATTAGATCAAAATAATAATTTGACAAATTAAACACTGCTCTATTTTCTCGTGTCGTTGACGTCTTAAAAAGCCGGATTAGGATAATTGTCTTCATTAACTTGCGGTTTGGTCAATGGCTGCCTCGATGGCCGAGTGGTCGCAAGTGAGACTCGGGTTCGATTCCCGGGCCGCGCAAAGTAAAACTGGGTTTTTAAAAAATTCTCACTAGTAGCACAGAGTCTGTAATTGTGCCCGGTATATGGCAATAGGCTCACCCCCTATTACATGAATATATCATATCATAACATAAATAGTGAAAAGTGGGTGTTACATTATACAGTGGCATTAAGTGTCGTAAGGGGGGATAAAAGGCATGATGTTATGTATGTATGTATGTAAGTTTGTTCAGTTACGCATTAATTTGACATGTTTGCGCGTGCGTGACTAAAGAGATGCGTACACGCAGTGGTTCGTTTAGTACAGGTATGTATCTAGTTGTACATATGTATGTAGACTTGTTTAATATGCAGTTTTAAAATGCATTCGGAGAACATATCGTGCTGGTCACTATCAGTGGCAAACAACATTTCACAACATGTTGAAACATTGTTTTGTTCGTTATTTTACTGCGTATGTAACTTTGTTGTTTAGATTCCTGTTTATAACTAGAATTTTAATGTAGTTGTGTGCCAACTGTGACTACCTACATAATGGTTTACTTGTTCCACATGATCACTTCGACCATTCAGTAATTTCTAGTGTGACAGAGTTTGACAGCGACTGACAACAACAAGTTGGAAACATCGCTGGCCGAGCAATGGCTGACCGAATTCGCGCGTTAATCCCCCGCCAACGATTTGTCCGTACAGTTTTAATTATATCCGCTGCGTTCCATTTTCGCGCTTCGCGACCCAACCGTGCCGCAACGGCTTCCGCGACTTGACGTTGACCCGATCGACGATCGCCCGTCGAATGCATGATGGACGCATGGATAAAATTAAACTCACCACGCCAATTTACGTTCAACAACCCTAACTTGTGATCAAAATCTTCTAGAGCATCCTGTAATGCACAATGACAAGCCATACATTTTGTTTTCGCAGTAAAACATGTTTTATACCCGGTGTAATGGCGGGCAAGCGAGCGCTGGAGCGCGATCAAACGGACGGGATGTTCCGTGCTCGTCAATTAAGCAAAATCGCACATTTGGCAATGTTCCCGAACAGTTGTTCCACTCTCGAGATTTTAGCGTTTGATTCGCGAAACAAGCTGTGCCCATGCCCATATAAGGTGGTAATGCCGACATGCACCGACCCGAGGGTACTAAACTGAGCGCTCCGCTCGCAACAACTTGTCGCGAGGAATTTGTGCCACGAGAGCAGTAAATCTCGTAAATTTTTATTCGACTCATTTGCGGGACAGAACACATGTTTGTTCTTTTTATACCCACTCATGTAAACAGAGCATAAATATTAATAAATATTAGGTAGATATGTCTTCTAGAGTCAGTAGACCGACACCTAGTTAGAGATCACGCACGACGATATGGGCAATAATTTATTACTTCTTTACAGTACAGATAAATACACTTTTAATCCCGCATCAACGACTTTAATTTGGTAAACAAGAAGATATCTTGTTAATCAAGCCTGTAACAACTTTTTAAACTAACGTCTAACTAAAATCAGCGAAGATACGAATTAATTCAGGATTGATTATTTTAATGACCATACTTCTATAATATTTTGCCATTTAGTACCGTACGTAATGGTAACACGATTCACTTTATTTATATTAATCTCATATTAATACAATAGGTACCAACTTTCTTCAAAAGTGTCTAAGTAAGAATAATCATTAAAATTGTTAACATGGCAGAATCGCAACAATACACGAGTGCACTTCATTAGTGGATATATTAATACAACTTTCGTTTAAATAATTAAATTAAACTCTCATATAATAGTTTAAGTTTTGTTTTACGTTTCAATGCGCACCAGCTCTACATATAAAACATCTTTTATTTTTATAGGGATGATCAATACGACCCACACAATTTAACATTTAATTTTCGCTTGCCCACACTGAAGTACCTTTAAGGGGGAATATTTTTATATCAATACAAATCTAGGTAATTCAGAGTTAATTATTATGTTTTTCGATTTACTCACGTCATTATTTTACGAGGAACTCGACTAGTTTCAAGCCATGTTAGAAGCTCATATTCATGAGCTGCATTCCGCGATCCACGACGCGGCGATGACGATCAGTTGCGACAGTAGACGGCGAAGTGAGTAAACCGAAATACATAATAATTAATTTAGTATGTCTCATGAAAGTTATTATATAATTCAGAAGTAGTTAAGTAGCTATACAATTTATCTAGTCATAGCATTTAATATGGTAAATAATTAAAAAGATATGATATTTAAGCACAATGACCGCATTCATAAGTTTGCAAAATTCTTTTGTACGCATTGTAAATATTTACAATTATTTTTATTTTAACAAATAAATGCCTGTGTGCTTTCACTTAGCTATAATTACATAAGTATGTAATTATAATTAGACACTCTCTAACATAGCTATTGTGCATGTTCTGTGCAAAATAGCAAGTGGGTCAATTCGCAAAAAATGAATCTATTACTGTATCTTACCTAGCTATATTCTTTATCAAGTCCTAATATAATTATATCGTGAAGTATGAGCCGAAATACCTAAGTAGTGTAGATAAGTAGGTTGGTCCTACGCTTAATAATTAGCAACTTGAAATCAGAGAATAATTAAAATCAATAACTATGTGACCGGCCAATCACACTTGAGACTGCTCGGTATTTCCAAAACCAAACATTCAACTACAGACGCAGTCAAGTCTTAAATGTTATATTACTTTGTATAACTAGACATCTATACAAAACCTGCAGCAACTTTCATATTAATTTCCTAAATGATTATCAGTTCACGAAGTCACGCGATGTGTCTTACATCGGTGCTGCGTAAAACTGAGACGCATACGCATCGTTTCTGCGTCATAATTATGCGCAAGCGACGCTAGTTGACTGACTCTGCGCCTACGCATCATAGCTCTATCATCCTACTTATGAAGACTTATTAAACATATTTTATTTATTTAATTGAAATGTCACTATGATGCCAGATTTAAGAGGCCTACCAACTGCTGAACATGGCCTCTGCAATTCCAGATCGGTTGGTTGGAAGTATCCAATAGCTTCATACGAAGTTTATCAGGTTGTCTATGCATTAAATAAAATTAAAACAAAAATAAATCTAGCTTTAGTCAAACGGCCTATTTAAATTAGAGATTCCATGCTCGTCATGGACACCACAGATGGGGCCCAATAGTGCTGATGCGGAGCCGCGGAAGGCCTAACGGGTTGCCGAGGCTCTGGCTCGAATAGCAGGAGTATGAACGGGGTGGTTTTTAGTCAGTAAGAGTCTGACACTCTCTTTCGCCTAACCCAAGGCGGGAGGAGCCATTGGATGATTTTCACCCCTCAAAAAAAATAAACTCGTCATGGAGCTCCCTCGCCTATGGAGGATGACGGGGACTGACAGACTGTATCTGACTAAAATCCACACAGATGTCCCTTCTGACACATAGGTACGAGATATTTTCTTTGTTATCGAAAAGGTGTGAAAGGAATTTCACAGGGAAAACAGTTTTATAAGTTTTCTAGGAAAACAAAGCTGTTTAAAATGTTTGTTAAAGCAATTATTTACCATCAGAGCCGATGATCCGAACTGTTTGTTTACCGTGCTTTGTTTACATTACCTATGCAATTATTTTACGGAAAAACCTCGAAGAAAACATTTTGAACGATCAATATTTCTTAGGATTGTTTTTCTATTTAATTTTATTAACCTTGAGAAAATAGAAAGTGGTTGGTTCTAACGTAAGTTGTATAAGTTTGTAAAAACTTAAGAGCAAGTCAATTAATTGTTCAATAACGAGGAAATTGTACATGACACAGTGCAGTGTGTTGTGGCGTGCCGAGGAAGTGGTTATGTCCAGCATTTGACCTTTATTAGTGCTGATGATGATGATGAATCAAGGTTCCATAAATAATGAGCGTTCAGTCATCATCTCCCGATCGATTTCGAACATAGTGGCCAGTCTAACTAGATTAGCCCATTACGCGGGAGATATACAGGGTGGAATTTCGAAATGCCACCTGTGAAGGGGAAGTCCTCTTAACACTTAAGATAGAATATTTTACTCAAAGAATCAATCAATCAATAATGATGAAATTTCTCTAACAAACTTCATAAATTTAATGAAAGGAAAACAATGAACGATCGATGCAATAAAAGTACAGGGTCCAAAATTGACAGATTTTAGTAGGTTCGATTACAGTGTGAGGAAAGCTAATTTTTAAAAATTAGCACGCAGTTTTTTTTTTCTTTTTTAAAATATAGGAATGTTTTCTTTGAGTGAATTTTTCTATCTTAAGTATTAAGAGTACTTTCCCTTCAAGTGGCATTACAAAATTCCACCCCGTATATAATGCATCTACTACTAGGTATTATAAACCCAAAGAGTTCTTCTAATTGTCTAAATGCTACTATCAGCCAGATTACACATAATCCGCATTTATAAAAGGCTGAAATCAAATGATTACACTTTATGAATCGAAATAAAAATCTTTATTATTTAGAACAGGGCAGTTCCGAATAGAAATCGGCTGACATATCCAGGCCGAATGCTTTACGTAACCGTACAATAAGTGGATCTAATATTTAGAAGACGTATTGTTTACCATCTCATTTTGTTTATGTAAACAGACGCACTTACGTACGCATTTTTATATAAGCAACTATCATTGCGTGTGGAGAAAGCTCTGTAACGTTTTTTTAAATACTAACGAAAGCGCAGCTAATGTTTACATTTGAAAATACGTAAGCAAGTACCTAATATGGTAGGATTAGGTTTAGGTACCAACATCCATATTTTCAGTTAGGTACTTATCCCACTGTTATGGATACAGACGTTGCGAGTATCAAAAGTACCAAATAAGTATAAGAAGAATTGTTTTTTCGGGTATCGGTGTGTGTGTGTGATGTGTTGTGGTATGTTTGTAAACGCACCTAAGACAGAAAAGAAATTTCTAGGGCTAGATTAAAAAAGCTATTGTTTATAGTCCACATTCGTATGAGGCCACGCTTAAGAAAGTTAGGTGATGTTTAAATTCCACGTTCTGCTACATTTTCATCATTTTTTTTATGGAATCCGGTATACGAATAGACAAATCACCTGATGGTAAGCAATCGACGACGCCGCCCGTGGACACCAGAGGCATTACAAGTGCGTTACCGGCCTTTTGGAGTTTAGGAATTTGAGGATTGTTGGGGATTCGGGGATTGGGGAGATTGGGGAGGGGGAATTGGGAGTCTAACCTGACTCACATGACAAAACACAACGCAAGTGTTGTTTTACTCCGATCGCGCCGCCCCATTCGTATCGAAGCATGGGTTTCCCACAATTAAAATTCATATTTTCAAGCACAAATCGTCGGATAAATATAAAATTTCACTTATAACTTGCCGATAAATGCCGTTACGAATGAAGTAAATAAGGCTACCTATAATAAAGTTTTCCAGTTGTCAGCACTCGTTGCACCGTGACGCGTGACAAGTAGACAACTGGTTAACTGGGTGTTAATACGGTGGCGAGCACCTAATCAGGTGTGACCATTGACAATCATGTTATTTGTTTTTTTTTAAATATTATAGAATATAAAACTTTTTAGTAGATCAGGTTAGAGTTGGAGGCTGATTTAGGCGCTAAGAACGACGTTTTTTTTATGCTGAAGACTCATCGTTGTTTAGATTCTTAATAAAACTGCTTGCATTGCAGATGCTTGTATGCGTCTGAATAAATAAAATATATTCCAAAACTCGCGGGCTACGTACGTGAGTGTACTGACAAAAACTCGTAGCCCACGACATAGCCGCGACCGCGCACGCTGCTCATGAGGTAGAGCCCCTCTGTGGCTCGAAACTAATAGAGCTTTTCCCAGTATATTGACGTGAGTAACCTTAGTTAATTTAGTAGCTATTATAAAAAAAATGTCTTCCAATTTTAAAACAACAACAAAAATGAAATTCGACCGTAAGATTAACCGGAGCTTTTCGCTCAGGAAATTCAAAATGGCAGCGTAACCAAATGCTTGGTTATTTATTGAAAACAATGTTAGTTAATTTAATTTCAATGCGTAACTAATATTCAGTAGTAAACCAGTAACTAACTACTAAGGCCTTGTGGCTTTACGTCGAGCACCAAAACACGTTGGGCCGGGCCCCAAATAATTACCCGCGTGTTTTCATAACCGCCCACCATGTTCGCAGAAACGCAGTTCAACCGTGCGATACTAATTAAACGTTGCAAATTCAAAATAAGTACTCAATTTATGTCGTAGATATTTTTGAGTATTT